ACCCACCCACCAGCAAAACCACCCACCCACCCAGCCAAAACCCACCCACCCACCCAGCCAAAACCCACCACCCACCCACCCACACCCACCACTCACCTACCCACCACACCCACCCACCCACCCACCCACCACTCACCTACCCACCTACCCACCTACCTATCCACCCACCCACCCACCCACCCCCCACCCACCCACCCACCCACCACCCACCACCCACCCACCCACTCACTCACTACCCACCTACCTATCCACCCACCCACCTACCTATCCACCCACCCTCTCATGTATAGCATGTTTAATATATTGATTGGTATAGCATGTTTAATATATTGATTGATAAATTCATTTAGATCCACCCATCCATCCATCCATTAATACATTCATGCATAATTGTACTTTCATGCATAATTGATACTTTCAGAGCCACTGCACCCTAGAGAAGAACTTTGATGACATCAAGCACACCACACTTAGTGAACGTGGTGCTCTCAGGGAGGCTGCAAGGTGCTTGAAGTGTGCCGATGCCCCTTGTCAGAAATCATGCCCAACACAGCTGGACATCAAGCAGTTCATTTCTTGCATTTCCAACAAGGTAGTGTTTTTGGTGATCTGTGCCATTTCTGTGTGAAATTATTTTTGGATATTTATAGTATTGATTGGCAGATATCAGTAGTTTCTAGTAATCTCTTTCCATTATGAAAGTTAAGAATGGATGAACCGAAGAAGAATTACATTCCCAATTACATTCCCAGAACTACTATGGAGCAGCCAAGATGATCTTCTCCGACAACCCACTTGGCCTAACCTGTGGTATGGTGTGTCCCACAAGTGATCTCTGTGTAGGCGGTTGCAACCTGTATGCAACTGAGGAAGGACCGATCAACATAGGTGGACTGCAGCAATTTGCAACAGATGTATGAGATCTCTGATTATTTTATGACTTTTATATCTCTTTCTATAACAATGCATAGTAATCCCTGGAATTTAAGTTAGGTTTGAGATATAGCTATTTTGACAGTGTAGTGAATTGCTAACATGTTTTTAATGGATAATGATGATAATATGTCTTCAATATTTTTTTTTTTTTGCAGATCTTCCGGCAGATGAACATCTCCCAGATTAGGCCTCCACACATACCCAAAGACTTGCCAGAAAGTTATGATGCCAGGATTGCCCTTATTGGTGGGTAATTGCAAGATCAAAGTATTACTATATATATCATTTTGATTGGAAAAGGATGAAAAAATGGTGATGCTGTTGTAAATTTCTTTTTTAATCTTCTTTCAGGATGTGGACCAGCTTCAGTTTCTTGCGCTACCTTTTTAGGCCGCTTAGGATACAACAACATTGATGTTTTTGAGAAGAATCAGTATGTAGGGGGCTTGAGCTCATCTGAAATTCCTCAGTATCGTCTTCCATATGAAGTTGTTAAGTTTGAAGTCGATCTTATGAAGGACTTGGGGGTGAAGGTCCATCATGGAAGGAAGCTTTCTATGTCCGACATCACAGTAAAGGTAAAGATGCTACTTATTACTAAGCACACAGCAGCAGAAATAAAAGCATTTGATACTTTTCAAAAATTTAATCTTGATATGAGGACTTGTTTCAAGCAAAAAGAGCAACCATGGCTATGCCATTATGTGCAGTTGTAACAATTTCAGTAACCTTTTGTGGCACATCAGCTGTGATAATCAAACCAAAAGTGTAGTATATGGCTAGTATTAGTAAATCATATATTTTCTAGGAATGTGGAACTAACTCTCGTGATCTTTAAAGGGTCTACAAAAAGAAGGTTATGAGGCCATATTTGTGGGTATTGGTCTTCCCTCTCCAAAGAAAATTGGTATTTTTGCTGATCTCAACATCGACATGGGTTTCTACACCAGCAAGGATTTCTTACCTTTGGTCACTGCTGCAAGTAAACCAGGTTAGTGTCACCTTACATTGTTTTGTGACTGGCTAATGAGGATATGATTTTAAGAGATTAAAAATAGGTTGCAGATCTTTCAGTTACATGCCTCTGTAATTTGTTTATTACTTAAAAAGATAGAAATAGATTCTGAAGCTTCCAGAAATCAGTCATACTTTTGATGTATAGAAATAAGAGGAAACAAAATAAAATAAAAGTTCCTTTGTACAGGCCATGTACATTTACATGAAAAAGTTGAAAGTCCTATAAAAAAAAGCATTTAGCATGCTAAGACTGGGGGCTTAGGGGGAGGGGGTTATTACCACCCAAGACTCTTGATTTTCCTCCTCAAGGTCTGACTTGCCTCCCCCCCCTCTCAATTAAATAATGCCCCAGGGTAAGACCAGCATAAAAATTCTGGGCAAAATTATAGACATGCTTGTAAAATAGAGAGATAGGCACTGGTCATGTGTTTTTGATTCTTGGCAGGAATGTGTGCTTGTAAGGCACAGCTCCCCTCAGTCAAGGGTGTGGTTCTGGTTCTCGGTGCTGGTGACACTGCCTTTGACTGTGCAACATCTGCTCTTCGATGTGGTGCAAAGCGTGTGTTTGTAGTGTTCAGGAAGGGCTTTACAAACATACGTGCTGTACCGGAAGAAGTGAGGCCTTTTGTTTGTTATTTTATTTTTGTCTTAAATAGCAAAGCATTTTGTATATTTTGTAGAGATAAATATAGTATATTTATTTCAAGAGTTTTAGCCTTGCTATTCAGATCTGTTATATTTGTAGAATTTTGTAAATTTCACTCTTTGAATTAAAACTGAGGACCCTCTATTCAGATGGAACTGGCAAGAGAGGAAATGTGCGAGTTCCTGCCCTTCCTCTCTCCGCGGAAGGTGATTGTCAAGAATGGCCGCGTGTCTGCAATGGAATTTGCTCGCACAGAACAGACTGAAGATGGCTCTTGGATTGAAGATGAGGATCAGATTGTGCGGCTGAGGTGTGACTATATTATCTCTGCATTTGGATCAGGCCTAACAGATGATGACAGTAAGTGAAGAACTGACTGGCCACTAAACTGTTTAGTAAAAGTTGTAATATATTATTCTAAATATAATTGCTTAATAAAGGATATTTTCCCGATAACCATTGTGTCTTCTTAGAATACATATGTAGACAAAGCTAATATATAAAGATTATTTTCTGTCAATGAATTTCATAAGAGATTATCTTACAGTCAAATCTGCTTTGGCTCCGGTTAAGCTGAATCGTTGGGGCCAGCCGGATGTTGATAACCTTACCATGTCATCTAGTGAACCAGGAGTATTTTGTGGAGGAGATATTGCAGGCATTGCAGAAACAACAGTTGAAAGTGTCAATGATGGAAAGACTGCCGCTTGGAACATACATAAATATCTTCAGGTAATTCTAGAACTTTTTTGTTACTATTAGTATTGCAGGAAATTCAAGATGTTATATATTTTCTATAAACTGATGTGATAAAAATATATGATATAAGAATAAGTTGTGACTTACAAATATGTTACCTACAAGGTACTAAAAAAAAAGAGGTTTCTGACAGGGTATTTATTTTTCCCTCAACAGTCTCTTCATGGCATATTGATACCAGACAAGCCACAACTACCAAAGTTCTACACTAAGATTGATGAAGTGGATCTCTCAGTCACCATCTGTGGCCTCAAGTAAGCTTTCTTTGACAAATGTAATTTTATATATTATATTTTTTTTCTTAATGACTGG